ACAAACATACTCCATTCAAACGTGATATCGGCAAATAAGTAGTGGGGGTACGAGCTTCTTTTCTTTTGTCGCAAATTTCGAGGGGCGCCACATTACAAAACTTTTTTTTACGCGAAAAATATTGAAAATAGCATTTACGTATAACAATGAAAACAGACATAATTCTTGAATAATTTTGATGAACAATGTCTCATTTTGAAGACGAAGGTTTCATCTAGGACATATCTTCTTCGAATTTTTGAAAAAGCTTTATTATTTATGCATAAACTATTCTTGAATAATATGATTTTTTAATACGATTTTTTTTCAAAGAAAATAAAGCTTTTTCAAAAATTTGACAAAAAGTATGTTCTAGATTAAAGCTTCGTTTTTAAAATAAAATCTTGTTCATCAAGATCGGTCTAGAGTTATGCCCGTTTTCAATTGATGTAAACCATTATAAAACCAGGATAAGTGAACAGCCATGAATACAATAAAAACTTGCTGTTCATCAATTCGATCAGTTTTTTCATTTTCAACATAATTCTTTAGGATACATTTCACATTGTAATAAATCAACTTAATACATGAAGGAATTAAGAAAAATAATTTTAGCATAAAAAATGAATAAAACTGACTGGACATATTGTGTCCTTAATGTATTTATTTGTTTACTCCATATGAATTATGTACATACACGTAAATTTAGATTCCCGAGAGATTGCAAGGACTATCTCTATTTGGGACTTCGTCTTACGGAATTATGTGGTTTCTTGCAATGCGATGAGAAAAAGAAAGAAATGATGAGTTTCCGATGATGCATAGATGATTCAATAGTGATTTCAAAATACAGGCTTCGTCATAGCATAGCCATTTCTAAAGAGCTTCATCACATTGTCAATTCCTAAAACACATTATTATATCATTGTTAATTTTTAATCTAATTCCATAAAATAGGTTATAATAAGAAATGTTACTTTCAGTCTGCCAAGACTAACAACAATATATTTTCTGATGATCGCGAAACCTTTTTTATCATTCATCATAGAGAAAAATATTCAAAATAATTATAGGAAATAATATATATACATTAATACTTACCATAATAGCATTAACAATGTCATTTTTATTATTTCTAAGAGCCTTAATAGCTTTTCCTTTAGAGACGTTAGCTTGGCACATCACCAAATCCACATCTTTTTCTTCGACATCCGTGTCATCCACTTCTTCTTCCGATTCCTCTTGTATCGGAGCGACGACCTTAAACAACATAAAGAATGAACATTGCTGTCAAAATATCACAATACTGTTCAAATAACATTTGTACTATTTCTTTACCGTTGTACTGCCACCGGCTTCGGTCGCAGGAATTACAGGTGGCTCCTTAAATTTCTCAGCAGCCGCAACTTGGGCTTGTTGACTCAAATCTTCGATCTATAAATAAAACAAAAAATGATATATTTTATTAACTATCCACGTCATAATAATATAAATAAATAATATCATTACATATCAGTCTGCCAAGGTATTTGTCTACATAATATATTTAGTTAATAAATTGCAAAACCGTACAGTGTCATCATTTATTCTATCGTTAATTAAAGATATTTTTTATTAAACTGTATGTATACAAATAAGAACATACCTTAGCTTCACCAAATACAATGTATATATCTGAAGCTGGATTTTTCAAAACATCAGGCTTGTTAATAACAAACAAAATATTCTTCGATTTCCTAATGGTTACCCTATTGACCCCTTGTACCTATATTACAAAACAAAAGAAAAAAGAAAACATTAAAATAATTTTAAAAGAAATATATATTAATAGATATAGATATTCATATAATAGATGTATGAATTAAAAAAAAAAAAAAAAAATGACATACCGGTTTCAATCCCAATTTGCTCATAAGCTTTCTAGCCTTTTTCTCTCCACGACTTTGTTTAGCTTTAGAGACCAAATCAATGGGAAGTCCGGTAACCGCTGTGGTTGGAAAACCAGCTGTGCCACCAACACCAGCATCTTCTAATTCTGGAATAGTATCATCTGAATCGGAATCAGTTCCAGATCCAACTCCTACTCTAGCAGCCTCAATTTTTGTGGGCTCGGAGCTGGCAGCTTTGTCTAATTCGGTTAATTCGGGCATTTTTCTTAATCTCTGGTAAGAATTAAAAAAAAAACAATTTTTAATTGATATACAAGGTAACATATAATATACAATAAATAAAATTTATTCATATATCAACAACATAAATTTATATCGAAAAAACATAATTATCCTCTATTGTATTCCTACCGCACTCTATGTTAGATAGACGCAAATCGATCAATCCCCAAAACGAGAAAAATGAGGCACGTGTTTTGTACAAAGTTAACGAAATAGGAAAACATCATCTATAATGTATAACCGATAAAATGAAAAACAAATTTTAATAACTTCAAGATCAAATGAATGAATTATTATCATTCGAAATGATAATACAAATATAAATAACACAACGACAAAGAACGGTAATGCGAACTCAGTGCGGCCATTTCCACAATTAAGCAGACATTGTTATGGCGCCCTATTAAATTTCTGTATAAAAGCATCGCATACAGTATTATATTCTGTTAACTTCATTTGATCTATTAAATGTATATAGAATACCGTATCTCGATCTATGTTATACTTTTAAAAAATTCAATAACTTTATAGCTCGTTGACGAAACTTTACATCATTGATATGTAAGTGCGAACAAAATCGTAGACAAGGCCTACCAAGCTTTCCAAATACAATCACGTATATTATCGATGATAAGAAATAAACTAGAATATTACTTCTATATAAACGTTATTCCGACAAATGTTACATTAGTTAAACACATTTTAACAGGTTTCGTAAAACGATGCCGATAAAATCATTAGATTTACCTCAAACGATAGTCCCTCGGCGGTAGGGCACTATTTTTACCATATAAACTGAGGCCAGTTCACACATGTGCTACTTTCTGACAAATCTTTGTACTTTTAAGAACGCAAACATCAGACAAGCGCAGAGTTAAATCTCATATACAATCGACGACACAATTCATTATTCTACAATAATGAATTTTCCATATTATCTTTTCGAACGTTGTATTATTTATTTATTCATTTATTTTTTTTTTCAAAATTTATTTCCATAAACAATCTTTTAATTAAATGAACGATATAGACGTTATAATAATGTAGCTGATATAAACACTTTTTCGACTCTTGCTGCTCGACCATCAAACCAATCACGATATATTATAAGTTGCGTGAAACGATCACATTGATCTGATCACATTGAGCGTAAATTTTATTTTACTTATAACATAGATATAAAGAATATAAAAAATAATAATAATAATAAAAAAAGTAATAAATAATGTATCTTGAAAGTATTTTACAATTTTCATCGTTAATCGTAATTTAGATTTTTGAACTAGGAAATGTATCTATCCAAACGTATATACCCTAAATAATTTAATAATTTTTCATTCATATTAAACTTAACAATATTATAAACATTATTAAAAAAAAAAAAAAAAAAAAAAAGATTCAATTCTCAAAAAAGAAAATAGTTCTAAGATATAATAGAGTATAAAATAGTAATAGAAAAGAAATGAAATATCAAGGAGAGTGGATAGAGTGATTTACAAGAGTATTAAAAATGATGAACAGATTATATTTAACAATAAATTTCGAAAATACAAATTTCATATTGTTATTACAATAGTTGAAATAATTTTTATTCTATGCGATATATGTAGTAGCAAAATGAAAAAAAAATCGTTATAAAAGCAATATATTTAATTATACAATATTTTCTTTTTTGTTTTTGATTGATTTTATAATAAAATTATTTTGATCTCTCATAACCTCTCTTTCACATATGTTAATATCCGTATGATAACGTACGCATTGATTTTAATAAATGATATAAATGTTATCAAAAACAATAGTTAGAACTCTCATTCTTATAAGTGCACATACTTGTATTCGAAACGCAATTAGAGATAAAAACTTATTTATAAATATATATGATAAAGTATTTACAGAAAAAGAAGTAACTATTGTAGATAATTTCGAGAAATATAAAATGGAAATATTTTTTGTTATAAAAATATTCATGTAAAATTTTATTTAACTTTTAAAATTTGTATATGTATAGTATATATAACTTATAATATTTAGATATACATATACACTTACATATTACAAATATATCAGCTTTTCTGTTTGTGAATATTACATTTGAAGTAATATTAGTCCAAAATAACAAATATCTATTATATAACTTCAACCATTTTCATATATTATGTTCCCGCGAGACTTATTTCTTTTATCTTTTAATATTTTTTAATCTTTATAAGATAACACTTAAACTTTTATCGTGCAGAATTTATAACATACTTAACAAATATATTTTTGTAGCAAACATTTCATTAAATATGTATTTTTCTTTTTATTAAGAGTTAAACATCAAAATATTTTCCAAATTTATTATTTTTATATATATAATTCTTCAATCAACATTTTAAATACTTAAAAATATAATATCAAATACTAGTAATTTTATAAATAAGTCAGGTCTATATAATTTATCTTTCAATAAAAAATAAATTACTTTGGAATTTTCTAAAAAAGAAAAAAATAAATAAAATGCAATAAAATTACATAAAAAATATTTTTCTTATTTTCCAAAGTATGAAAAAATTTTTATGTTTTTTTTGCTAAACCTCTTCTAATATAAATACTAATTTGTTTCTATTATCAAGATAAACAGTCTCATATAAAATACATAGTTTATACTAAATTATAAGAATTTGATTATTTATCTAACGCTAAATGAATCAAGATTGTAAAATTAATAGAAACATTATTTAGATTCAAACTAGAAAGAATGATTATTTGTTATAATTAACAAAAAAAACTGTATTTATTTTACTGTGCTATTAATCTTTTTATGCAATTTCGCTAACAATTGCATAAAGATAACTTGGAATGATATTGTTTTTAACTGTCGAAAATTTAATAATTTCTTTTCAAATCTTCATATAATTGACCACTACTGAACATAGAACACAATTATAATATATTGCGCTGTATTATTAATGTCATTATCAACAGTAATATAGTACCTATGCCGACTGAATTCTTAAGATATCAATCTTCAACTTCCATTTCTTCATCGGATTTTTTTTCTTCTGAGTTTTGCATTCCTAATTATGAAGCAGTTGTATAAAAATAATTGAAAAATAAAAATAGATAAAAAGAAAAATACACATTTTTTTAAAATATAGATAAAATATTAGACAAACATTAGCTAAAAATTTTATGTTTACCTTTTTTATTTATATTGGAATTAGTATAATCATCATTAATATGCTCTTGATTTTCAGATATTTCTGCTGGTCTTTCAACTACTTCAATATCTGAATCTAAAAATTAGTTACTCTAAATATGTGTGTGTGTGTGTGTGTGTATGTATATGTGTTGCTTATTTATATTGAGAAAGTAACAAAGTAACAAAGTAATTACCAGTATCAGATAAACATGATGCCTCTACTTCAGAATGTTTTGATGTCTCTGTATTTTTATCAGATGAATCATTTGCAAGTGTTCCAGAAGTTGGAGAAGTGTTAGAAAAAACATCCTCTATTCTTTGGACTCCTGGTTTTTGTTTTCTTGGAGGATTCCAAAAATTGCAATAACAACATCTAAATCCTATGAATACAAGTGTTACGTTTTTTCATTTCTTCGTTACTTTTATTAACAGATTTTGAAAAATCTTATTCACCTAAATATTCAAATTCCTCTTTAAGAGCCATTCCATTATGACATTCGCACTGACGACAAATTAAAGCATAACGATTAGATGGCCCATCACCCACTAAATAATCAATTAAACGATCAAAATTGCTTCTGTGGTGTGGTAATATAGGGCGTGCTAATGTATATTCAGATGATCCTAATATGTAATATAAATTTAATATTAATATAATATAGATAGAATGATACGATACGCATGTATTAACAAAACATAATATATTAATGTAATTATTTTAAACCTTAAATAATTTATTATATATAAATATAAAGCAATACTAACTGTAGCACATAGGTGTATTATTAAGCCGTTTAGAACCAGTTTGAATAGGAGTATTTAACTGTGTGGTTTTATTAGGACTTCCATCAACAGATAAAGTTTGAGCATTGATATCCTTTGAAACATTGAATGACTGATTAGGAGTTCTTCTTCTTATTTCTCCTATACCTGGCGATGAAAACGTAATAGTACGTGATACGTCGGGCTGTCGTAGTTTTTCCACAGTCTGTGGTACTGTAACAGATGTCTAAAAATCAATAACATTATTTTTATAGTTACTACAATTTCAAAGAAGAATTTAGAATATTGTTTCTTCTATATATATTACTTATATATGTCTACTTATAGAATCATTATTATTTATGTTTTTTATTATTATAATTTATACTTACAGGATTCTAAAATAAATTACTTACCTTTACTATACGTTTATGAAATTCTTTATTATTTACTTAATACAATTATTTTGACTTACTGATGTCATTTTCAGTTGATCAGGTGCAAATCGTAATAAAATCTCCTTGGCTTTTTTATATGTTTCAGTTTCTGTAACTTCATCTAAAATTTTACTTTTCTCCTGTTGCATCGTTGCCAACTTTTCTTGATTTTGAGATATTTTGCGTTTATAGTACCACGATACCATTTTTTTTGTAAACAGTATTCTGTAGTAATATAATGTTCTCTTCATATTTATTGTCAATTCATTTATAGATTAGTTAATCGAATAACTTATGCTTGCCTTCATATATATAATCAATTAAAAAAAAAAAAATAAGGATACTTACATAATTGGAAAAATTAATAATGGAGTAATATAGAATATTTGATCATATAAAGAGGCTGGGAAGAAGTAAAAATAGAAAATGAAGGCTGTTGTAATATAAAGAACAACGCTATAAATGACAAGTGTTCCAACAATCTTTTTGTGCTTTTGTTCAGTATTTTGTCCATATTCTTGTATTTCTTTTATTTTCTATAAACAAACAAATCTTATGTTTTTTATGATAACAATAAAATAAAAATAAATAATGTAAAATAAAGGTTTCTCTTACCGAATCTAAATCTTCTAAAATTTCAATAGTTGTTTTCTTTCCCTAATAAAATATAAAATTCTTTATTATAAAGTTACATTAATTTTTTTTTTTTTCTATTAATAAATCTTAAAAAAAATTTTATATTCGAATAATTTATAATATAAAAAAAGTACAAAGTAATCTAGTTAAAATACAGTAATCTTAAATACTTAGAATGTATTTTAATATTTATCGAACCAAATTAACAGATATAATTGTATGAAAGCATGCTATTTTCATCACATTAATAATCTTTCAATTTTGATTAATCATTCCAATGATATAGAACCAAAATGACAATACAAAAAATCTTAAAAATAAATATATTTCCAAATTCACTCTACATATATCTATACTCATTATACATAATGTCAAAAATTTATATTATTTTAAGATATTTAAAATCGATATACATAATGAATGTAATCTCTTAAAATAATAATGCATATAGAATTCACGAGCGTGCCTTGATTCTAAAAATAACTATAGTTGCTACATAAAAATATTGTTCATATACTTTCCGTTTTATATGGTTAGATAACAAAAAAAAAGGGAGAAAAAGAAAAAAGAAAAAAGAAAGAAAAAAGAAAGAAAAAAGAAAAGGAAAAATATATAAGGGAGAAAAAAGAAACAGAAAACAAAGAGAAAAAAAGAGAAAGAGAGAGAAAGAGAAAGAGAGAGAAAGAGAAAGAGAGAGAGAGAGAGAGAGAAAGAAAGAGAGAAAGAGAGAGAGAGAGAGAGAAAGAAAGAAAGAAAGAAAGAAAGAAAGAAAGAAAGAAAGAAAGAAAGAAAGAAGGAAAGAAAGAAAGAAAGAGAGAAAGAGAGAGAAAGAAACAAAATATTAAAATTTTTCCTGATAACATATTAAACATTTATGGACTTTTTTTAAATTGGAACACTTACCCGTCTTAATAGTATAGATAATTCAAGATCAAAAACACAAAGTGCATAATAGGAAAAGCCATGAAATATAATAATATAACCAAAATACTTACTCGAAATCTGGATAATATGATTCCCATGGTTTCTGACGATCGATCACGTTCTTTCTCCCGTAAAAAAAGAAATTACTGATGTTAATTATATGTAAATGTCAATTCTTATGTCAAAATTGATTTATAAAAGATATTTTTTGAAACATCGAGATTCAATTGTCATATATGCAACGGTCTACCTTTCAAATCCAATATAACTACACCCGCGTTTTGTACCGATATTTATAACTTGCTTCTTACAAAGATTCTCCAGATGCCAACAGAATAATGTTTATTCACATATTGCAATAAAAAATTATATATATATATCTACATATATGTATATATTTTTTTTCTTCTCATAGAATGTACGAACTCAAATCAATATTTCATTAATTTTTTGACGATTATTAACACTTTTTACTTTTCTTTTCGATTTATACGGATTTTGAAAAAAAAAAAAAATTAACCACAAAAGAATATAAGAAGCTGTAATACTACACAATAACGGTGCGTAATCATACCAACAAAATTAATTAAAATCCTATTTTCTTCGCCATAGCAGCAAATTTTATTTTTATACATTTGTAATACTCTTTTCTAATTTCTTAGATATGAAACTGATTATTGGCTGTTTTTGTGGTTCCATCAGAAATAACTAATCATAACTTGAAAATGCAACCAATCATGTTTCATAGATTTCAAATCACCAAACAAATTAAGATATGGAAGTAAAACCTTTTTTAAAATTTAAAATAATGTTTAGAAAATAAGTAGAAGAATTATAAAATAATATATAAGTAGAAATAATAAATTTAATGTATTATGATTTTATTTCTTTACAATTAGCAGCTTTTACTCCCATTTCGACGTATTCATTAATAATTGGAATTGCTTTTTCGATCATATTAATTTCCAAAGGTGAAACTTTCGGGAGACCTAAATTTTCTGTAATTCCTCTTAATCCAAATTGTAATTGAGACGTAAAGAAACGACATAAGGGCATTACATTTGACCGTACAAAACCACATGCATAGATATTATCAAGACCACTAAGGCCACCAGCAAGAGCTAAAATTAATTTTACTGCAGCGGATCCATCCAAGAGGGCAAACTTTTTGACATTAGAATGTATTTTCTCTCGTTCGGTCGCTTGAAATAATTCTACCAATGTGTTATAATGCGCCTAAACAATTAATATATGATTATTTATATTTTGTTGTTATACAATACGAAAAGTTACATAAAAAAATATAGTATAGTATCTGTTTCTAATTTGTATACCATTGACCTTAGTAAATCATTAAAAAATAAAAAATATAAGTATTATTATACTCATACGGTTATAAATCCATTGATAGGTTTTGCGCATGATAAAAGCGGAACAATAGTATTTAGATCAGCCCCTCCAGCTATTGGGATTGATATAGATGCAGGATTCAAATCTAAGATATTTCCTGTTATTGTTTCAATTCGCATTATCTCTGTAGAGACAGAACCAACCAATCTATTTGGATCCCATTTGCCTGCATGTTTATAAATCTCTGATACCATTGATAATGTTGCTGTTACTGGTTTTGTAAAAATTGCTACAAGAGCCATAGGAGAAATTGTAATTATGTCCTCTACTGTTTGATGAATGTATTTTGAGCATGTATTAAGTTGAACATATGGATCTTTAAGGATATTTAAATCAGAATCATCCATAAGTGCAACAATATTTGTCTATAAATAAAATAACATTGATTTTTGTTATAACTGTTATTATAATGTAATTAAATTAACATACTTTTACTAAGGCTTCTCTGATCAGTCTTTTTGTAAAATACTTTATGCAAATAGAAGTATCAATATGGCTTGCATCCAAGACAGTACCAGCTAATTTTCCACTTAAATCAACTAAATGTATATCTTTTATAAGACGGGATTGTTTTAAAAGAATTGCTGTATAAACAGAAGATAAACCTCCACCAATAATACAAACATTTATATCAATCATACGATCATGGAAAATATTATATTCATAAGATCGTGTGAGTTGCTTAATATTATTTAATTTACACTCTCCATATATTTTCTCATTAGATCTATTTTGACTTTGAGATTTTATATTTCTTTTGTTAATATTCAATTGTATTTTTGAACTATTTTGAACCATGCAAAATCTATAAAAACATCCAGTAATACTTTGAAAATAATATGAATAACACTTGGAGATCATTTTTAAATTTCATTTTACATCTGTACTTTAATATTTTGCCAAAATGAGCATGGAATTCTTGATATGAAACAAAGTATACTAAAAATTTATATATATATATATATAATATTAATTTTATTAATAAAAAATATTAATTAAGAAAACTTATAGTGGAATATAAAATAAAGATCAATATAACTATATCTTTCCGAAAAATTAATAAGAATATATAATTGATTTACCATATTTGAATACTTTTAATACAATTTATGATGCTATTAAGGAATTTTTTTATCTTTCTTAATATCTTGAGCTGTAGTGTCTTTTTGTGACTCACAAATATCTGAAACAAGTTATTGTTCTTAATTAATTGAACATAATTTTTTATTGTTTATTATAGAACATACCTCGAGTTTCTTTTAATAAAATAAAAGTTTAAAATAAAGTATTATCAAAAAGATAATATCAATAATGTCAAAATATATAACAATGCACTTTAAAAGTTATTTAAAATTTTATTTCAAGTTTGTAGAATTTATATATTATCATGTCAAAATTATAAGAAAGGTTAATCTTTACAATTAGTTAAATAGTCTTTTGTTATTTTAATAATAAAATCGTTTATTAAGTAAGATCATATCGTATGAAATAATTAATATATTCATTATTTAAATGATAATATTTTCTTATGAATATAGATAATTTGTCAAATATTTCTTAAAAGGTTTCTTCTCGCATATATAATAATATAAATTAAAGTAATGTTTTAACTTTTTTACCAGATGTAAATGAAAAGTTGCCTATCATTTTTTCTATATCATTTCTTAATATCCTTAAAAGATAATAATATTCTTGTAAATCACGTCGCGTCTTTCGTAACATTTCTAATTCTTCCTGAAGTTCCTGAAAGAATACATAACATATTTGTTGAACTTTAAATCCATAAGATATAATAATATAAATAAAATATATAGCGTATATAAAAGGAAAGAATAAAATGAAATGTTTAAATCAATTCATTAAATATACCTTATCTGCCATTTTAAATGAAAGTACTTGCGGATTGTTGTGAATATAAATTAAAATGTAAAAAAAGAAATGTGTTCTGAAATAAACTTGTGGCGGTTAACTTTTTTTTTGTAATAATCAAAGCTACCAACCAAATTCAGAATTGTCATGAACAAAAAAGAGGAAATCAAAAAGTTATAGAGATAAATGACGTCTAATATGGTTTAATACTTATATTTGATTTTACTAAAATCAATTTACTATCATGAATAATATGCATAACAATTTTAAAATTTTCTTCATTATAAAGAAAAAGTAATTATGTCAAAAGTTTTTATTCTATAGTGACAAACAATAATGATCACAAATAAAACTATGAAAATGACTTTGTTTATTTAAATTTCAATCATTTTCATTTGTAATAACGCTAGAAATATACACATATAGCGATACACACACATGCCAAGGTTGGTAATACAACACAACGCCACCTGTCAAATATTTTAGAGATTACAAGTCCATATCGTTTACGTTTCCATATGAACTTTGACAAAGATTGTTATCGTATAGTGTTATTTATACTAATAAAGTTAATTATTTTCTTATCAGTGTTGTTTATTTTTCCTGTGCGTATGGACTATACATCCATTGATTTAAAAAAAAATTAAATTATTTAATCTTTCTAATCGTCAGAATTTATTTAAAATTGGCATAGTTATCTAACAGCGAATTATTGAGTCTTTATAAGGCTATTAAAATAAAAAGAAAAAAAGTAAAGGAGACAAGTGAATTTTATAATTACCATTGCCTTAATAATAACGTCAAAATGATGATGGATTATTTTGTAACAAATAATTCTTTAGCACCTGCACCTATGGGAATACAAAGTACAGCAGGTGCAGTGCCAGTAAAAAATGATAAAGGTTAGCTTATGTTATGATATAATTTCAAAAGATTTTAAAAAATATATATTCTCTAAAATTATTTATTATTTATTAAAATTTGTATATTAAACTATATATTGAACTTTAATTAATATTTGATATTTATATCAAATATATTTTTCTTTTATTTTACAGGAGAACTATCTATGAAGAAAGTGAAAGTACATCGTTATGTTTCTGGTAAACGTCCTGATTATGCCCCCGTGGCTAGTTCAGAAGAAGAATCAGAAGATGAAGATTTTTTAGAAAAACGTGTTCATAAAAGTTATGATGACAATGAAACTATTACCGATGTCCCACACACAGCTCAAGTTGTGAAAATAAGAGATGAAGATGATCCACGCTTAAGAAGATTAACACGATTAGAGAGACAACGAGATTCAGCCACAGAATCTCATGTTGAAAGGCAAAGACATATTCATGAGCCTGAATTAATTGAGATAGAACCAGAAAGATCACATGAAAGGATTAAGTTGGAAAGTTCAGATTCATCCGAAGATGAAGAATTATCAGATTCAGAAATAGAGCGAAGACGTGAAGCTTTGAAACAACGAGTATTATCAAAAAAAGAGACAGAAGAAGAATTATTACATGGAGAAGAAGACGAAAGATCTGGTGAAAGCACGGAAGAAAGTTCAGAATATGAGGAGTACACGGATTCTGAAGAAGAAACAGGCCCAAGACTTAAACCAGTTTTTGTTAGAAAAAAGGACAGAATTACAGTTATGGAGAAAGAAAAGGAGGCAATGAAACAAAAACAAGTAGAAATAGAAGCTAAAAAACTAGCAGAAGAACGGAAAAGGCAAACTTTTCGTATGGTGGAGGAAGCAATTCGTAAAGAAACACAAGTTAACAAAACTAATAATGAACAAGAAGGTAAGCTTGAAGATGTTTGTACAGATGATGAAAATGATGAAGTTGAATATGAAGCTTGGAAATTAAGAGAATTAAAGAGAATTAAACGAGATCGGGAAGAAAGGGAACAAATTGAAAAGGAGAGATTAGAAATTGAACGAATACGTAATATGACTGAAGAAGAGCGTAGACAAGAAGCTCGATTAAATCCAAAGGTTATAACTAATAAAGCAGCAAAGGGAAAATATAAATTTTTACAAAAATATTATCATCGTGGTGCCTTCTATTTGGACAAAGATGATAACATATTTAAGAGAGACTTCTCTGGTGCTACTTTGGAAGATCACTTTGATAAAACAATATTACCAAAAGTTATGCAAGTTAAGAACTTTGGTCGTAGTGGTAGAACTAAATATACTCATTTAGTTGACCAAGATACTACTCAATTTGACTCTCCTTGGATATCGGAGACCGCTCAAAATCTTAAATTTCATAATAATCAAGCTGCTGGAATGAAACAAGTTTTTGAACGGCCATCTTTGAAAAAAAGAAAAAATGAAAATTAAATTTAATACACGTATCTAAGCATTTATAAAGTCTTACTCTGCAGAAGTATATGCACTAAAATTTGTTAATAATAAGGTTTGGGTATGAAAATGTACATATAATAAATAAAAAATATCTGTTCTAATTTTATATCATTACAATATAAACATTTATTTTTTAATTTATTAGATTATCAAGAAAGTTCGTATCAATAAAGATAAATAATATTCAACCATATTTGACAAGCTGTTAGAACTTTCGAAACTATTTAGCTGCTTGGGAAATATTTTTAAATAGATGTATTTTTAAAAAGTTGTATGGCGGAGGTTTTCCACCATATAAAGTGTCTGACAATGGATAACAATTTCTAATAGTAAAAAATATCAAGAAGTCACACTTTATACTATGATATTTTTGGGCAACAATTTTATATACCTTTGCTACATGTTACCTATCAAAGCCACTGCGACTCAAGATTCTCATCTGTTGTAATGTATTTGCGCAGAAAAATTTTCAGCCTGTACACTAATATAACGTATGTCTGGTATTCACGGACTCGCGTTATAAACTGCGCGAACTTTCCTATTAACCTAATATTATAAAATATAATAATTTATACCAAAATACAAAAATTATGAATTCATAATTATTTCATTCATTTTTGCAACGCAAATACTTCAAAGCTTGCTTTGCTGCTGCACATTTAGCTTGTTTTTTATTGGCACCAAATCCGTGAAATAATTTTGATTTTCTTTTATTCGTTATTTCTAAAGGTACCATAATAGTATTTGTACCCTCTATTAAGGTTGCAGATCTAAATATAACAATAAAAAATTAAAGACAATTTTATACGATTAATATAACAGAAATATAAAATGCCATTCCCAAATAAAACTTACAAAAATTTGGCATTTGATCCTAGCGTTTCATAGATTAAACGCACAGGTTGCTTCGGAACATCTCTACTAAAGGCATCTATAAAAAAAATATATAAAATCAATACTTGTATTTAATAAGAATCACAAGCGCTAATAATATTACGAAAAATTACATTTAAAAAAAATTCGATGTAATTATTAGATGATATTATCATTTTTAAATATATATATATATATATATATATATATATGGTTGACAAAAACATACCGATTTCTTTATACATAAGAGCGAATAACAGTTCCCAAACTTGTTTAATATTTTTATTAGTATCTAAATAAACAGCTCCTATGAAAGATTCAAATATATCACTTAAAACTTTAGGAACATCAACGTATTCGGCCATATTACATTCTTCTTCTTCAAGTAAAATCCAGAGATTCTGTAAAAAAATAATTTGTAAGAATTATTTATAAACATTTATTATTAATATATTTATAGCCCTATATTATGTATATCAATATATAAAGATTATAAGATATTATTTGTTAGTTTACCTCGTTATCAACTACATAATTCCTTTCTTCTTGAAATTTTACAAATCTGTCGATAACATCATTTAATTGTGGAGAATAAGATAAAAGAGCTGTATGTAAGCCATATTTTACAGTTAAGCATGCAAATGTAATATTATTTACAAGTGCAGATCTAAGATCTGTAATTTCACCAGGACTTAATAATTCCCAATATTGATGAATGTACCCTGTAATTAAAAAATCTGAAAGAAAATGAAAAAGATGTATATACGTTTTAGAATAAAATAACAAATATATAAGTACATATACACATATATAGAACTTGTATGTTTCTTCATTCTTACCAATAATAGCGTCACCTAAAAATTCCAATCTCTGATAATCATCTGTTATATTATTTTCTGTGTAAGATGGATGACTAAAAGCCTAAAAAAATATAGACATGTATTTCATTAATATAATTATAAGAATATATGTTTATCAACATATTTAAGAATTATTATTTGGAGAAGGAGATTATTTGTATCTTAAATTACCTGTAACAAATATATCCTATTTCGAAACTTATAATTCATATTCTTTTCTATTGTTTCAGCCCATGGCATATACAAGTTTAGATCTCCAACACTAACTTCTGGTTTTTGTGTAACAGAATACAATAATGCATTAATGTCAGTGTGCAAAGGCAAAATACCAAACCACATTAATAATTTTACAGCTCCTACCATTCCCATACTCTGTTTAAGTAAATAATAATAGTAAAAAGAATTAATAATAATAATAATAATAATAATAATAATAATAATAATAATAATAATAATAATAATAATAATAATAATAATAACAACAATAATAACAATAATAATAATAATAATAATAATAATAACAATAATGATAATAATAATAATAGCAATAACATAACAATAATTTTAAATACTAGAATTATCTTACTTTAAGATAAACACTTATTAGGGCTTCTACACAATCTGCAACTGCTTTGTCTGGAACCATTTGTACACCTATGTAATACTCAATACCAGTTTGTGATTCTGCAGCAGCCCAATTCAAAACTTTCGCTTGCATTTCATTTTTTGTATTTTCACTTATATATCCAGAGAATCTTTCTTCTTCAGGTATGTGAATTTCATATAACACATTTGGAGATACCTTATACATATAAAAATAGTGCCCGATAAAAAGCTTCACTTTCAAGATATATAAGATATACGAAAATAGAGTATCTCATTATTTTTTATAGTAATTATAATATGTATTTATAATTTCCCTCATTTTCTTTTTCTACATACATTATAGTTAAATGAAGTGGGAAAATAATATTCATTCAGAAAAAAGAAATAGAGAAATTCTCAGAAAAATATAAATAAAAATGAATTTTGGAATATGATGTGTTAGTATATGTGTAGAAATATGAATAGTCAAAAATTACTAAAAAATGTAAAATTAGTAATGTTAGAAAGAAAAATAGACGACTATAAAAATCGATTTTCCCGAAAACCGTTTTTTAGGTAGGGTTAATATGTCCTACGCTATCATTGCATCAGCAATCATAAATCAGTAGACCGATGTGCAATGATTGTGTTCATCGTTAAGATGTATTTATGTCTTCAAATAATAAAATGCTTTTTTCTATAAATTAGTATATTTACAATTTCTTAAATAAAACGTTTTTCTGAAGTATTAAACTTCTATAAAAGCATTTTATTATTTGAGCGTAAACAAATTATCCTAGTAGTGCCCGAAAAAATCGATTTCTATAATTGTTCGTTTCTCTGCCGTACCCTGTATAAGTATATAATAGAAAAATGATATGCAGTAAAAATTAGAAATCAAAAATAAAATAGGATAATAATGATTAACAGCATAAAAGAATGTTATGATTAACCATAAAACAAAAATTTTTAGCAAGCTGAAATATATATATAAAAAAAAAAACAAGAACCTTAGCTTCTAATAAAATTTTTTGTAAAGGGCGGAATGTTGTATAAGCTGGAGGAATAAATGTGCTCATTGGTATAAAATCATCGACTTTCATGCATCCTGGGATAGACTTTTTGATACCACAATAATATAAATTTCGATTTCCAATGATTTTTCCTTTAAGTGCAGTTAAACGACCTTCATTATAAGTTGGAAAAACGGAATACAAATATAAAGATATAATAAATTTTAAATAAGAATCTCCTAAAATTTCTAATCTTTCTTGATCAAACACATCATTTCCACTAGTTATAAGCGCCTAAAACATAAAATGCTGCATTAATAATAATAATAATAATTATTATTATTATTATATTTTATAACCATTGATAACTCTTAATAATTTTATATAGCATATATACTATATATAACATTAGTGCATTTGATATTTCATTTACCTGCATAATTAGTACTGGATCTGGTCCTGTTTCATCATTTGCTTCTAGAATTTCTAAAGTTGGTATTGATACTTTAGGTTTACTTTTGTAGTTAATTATTTTGGTTTTACGTTCCTTAGAAAGCTATAATAACAAAAAATATGTAATAAATATTTGACAATTATAATAATAAACTTGATATATTAAAATGTAATATACATGATATGCTATCATACCATTTCTGAATTAGATGTATCCGACATAAAATGACAATAATATTCAATATCAATTAATTGGATTTGCTCAGCATTCCTGTTTATATCGGGTGGTTCTTGTTCTTTTGTCCAAGGATATAGATTTGCATCAGTATTAAGAACTATAACATAATAAAATGTACATATTTTTTTAAGACATATATTTTTTTATATATTATTATAAAAACTTTTTAACTATACATACCATCGATTTCAGGTCCATTCAAATCTAATACTGGCTGGCCAGTTTGTATAATTTCATCAAATGTACCTTCTGACATTTGTTCTGTTTTAGATTCCGATTCTTGTATATTTATGACCAAAGGAGGCCAATTATAGTTTAGGAGATCATTCAGTGAAGTACCCAAATTTGCCTCTTTAAAAATAGTCTCTCTTAGATCTAATGCAATTAATAATTGTGAAATTCTATGAAGGATGGATGGTAACGTAGTCGCTTTAAGCCAATATAATGCAGGAAATTCAACTTTACAACATAACTCCGGTACTAAATGTTCATCGTAATCTTCAAGTGCATCTGCACGTTTTCGTTTACTTAAGCCAGACTTCATATTTCTGTAAAAATTAACGAACACGTATATTATATTCATTATTATATAATTTAATATATTTTATGTCCTCTATTTTTCGTGATATCATACCGTGGTTTTATACAATTAATTTTCATTGAAATTGGTTTTACTTCTAGCATCGATTGGTTTAAATCACTTATTTTTAATTCATGTTTTTGATTGTAATAATGAGCATAAGTAAGAAAATCATTTGTTGGAAAACATGAATTCGGCGCAAGATCATCGCATACTTGTGTGACAACATATACATTTGGAGATGATCTATAATTAGGAACAATCAATGCTAATTCGTAATCAATGTTTTTTAATGGTGCAAGAGACTTAATATAAGAAATATATTTGTATTTTTGAACAACATTCCAATCTATTTCATTTTCATTATTAGCTGTAAAAAAATATTTTTAGTAATAAATATATTATATTTTCTTATACTATCACAATATTAAATTATGCAAAAAAAAATACTTTTATTACTTACTTGGTACAATAAGAAAAGAATTATCAAAGTTATCATTATCAAATGTCATAAATGGTTTAATAACAGATACAATATTAGTAAATATTGTAGTATGAAAAATTTTTAATTCTTCAATTTGTTCATTAGTTAAAATCATTGTTGCATAGTTAACTTTGATATTAACATTCAGCTCTCCAACATTCATGTAAATAGGGAATGATGGAATCTAATGAATACATCATAACAAATGACATTTAAAAAATATATGTATAAATCCTTACAAAGATAACATATTTAATTAGCTTTAAATACTTATTTACTTGTGGGATTAACTTCGTCGAAAGTATTCCATATCCTGCTTGATCATGTAATAAGTTATAAAATACTAAATTTCTATTATCCTGTGGTATTGAATATACTGGTTCAGCACTAAGAATATGTAAATATAAAATGGTTCCTTCTGAAGGAAATGCACCATATAATGCCTCTGGATACTACAAAAAATATTTTTTGATAATACTTCTCTCATCCAAGTTTTATAATTAATAATATTTCATAAAATTACAGTTGTTTTATTTAAGAAAAATTATTATAAAATTATATATAAAAATTATATTAAGAGGAAATAATATAGAAAAAAGAAAGATAAGAAATATATCAAGAGGTCTATAATAATTATAATAATAGTAATAGTAATAAATGAATAATTACTTTAAGTTTGTGATATCTTTTCTTTCTTGTAGTACCAGCTTGATTTGTTTTTGAATCTTCATTTATCCAATTCGGAAAAAGATATTCTGTATTATCTAATATATCATTTACAGATGGCAATAAATTATTTGATAATTCGCCAATTAAATGTAATTTTATGCAAGTTTTAAAAGCAGCAGATTTTTTAGCTGCATCTATAGAAGGCATCATATCACCAAACACTACTTCTTTAAGTGGAGATAGATTTGGCAATTTAAGGGACACCTGAAAAGTTCATTATGTTATATGGTAATTAAATAAACAATATATATAGTTAATATCTAATTATAATTTTTCTTTACTAAAACAATAATGCTATGAAAATACCTGAAATGTTTTATTTTCCTCTATTTTATGTAATTTCCATGTTGGATATAAAGATACAAATTTCGATTTCAATAATAAAGTGCAATATTTATTTATTAAATTAATTGCAGCTTGTTCTGTCAGTATACTTGTGATGTTTTCATTTATTTTCACTATATATGGCTCAATTGTATAAGAATACAGATTTTCTTTAATTTCCTCTGCGGTAGGTTCTATACGATATTCAGATTTTCCTATTAATATCTAAATATAAATGAAGATAGAATTAATAAATTTACATAAATTAGATGAAACTATTCTAAAAAAAAAGCATGTTAAGTCTAAATTAGACAAAATATATTATATTAACTATAGCAAATTTGTTTAATTTAGTTTTATCTTTTATAATTATATATATATATATATATATATATATATATATATATATATATATATATACAATTCTATATATATATATATATATATATATATATATATATATATATATATATATATATATATATATACACAGAATAGAGAGACATATGTACACACATACACACACTAATTTCATTATAAATATATATAATACTATTGTTAAAATAATATATATTATTATATACCTCTTGTAATGATAAATCGATATTTTTAAATAGCATATGTCTCTTAATATAATTGTGATCATTTTTACTTAACATAATAACATATTGACTTGATGAAAAACGTGCGCGTCCTTTACTTTGAATATAAGATCGGAAGTCTGTTGGTAGATCAAAACGTATTACAAGCGTACAAACAGGTATATCAACTCCTTCATCAAGTATATCTGTTGCTATAACGCAATTACTTAATCCATTTCTAAATCTGTAGAAATATATTATAATATATAATTGTTGTAATAATATAGAATTGCTGTTACAAGTTCTATCAGAGAAATAATATATAGAAAATAATATAAATATATAATTATACCTATGTAAAACCTCTCTGTTCCACTTAGACATACATAAAACTTCTTTATAATTTTTGTAAGGGTTATTATTAAAACCTGTAGTATAATCCGGAAGTAAAAATTTATATCTTTCATCGTGAGTGTGCATTTCCTAAAAAAGAGATTTAAAAAAACTGTGTATACACAGATAGATATTTTAAATTCTATAATAATACATCAATTAAATTAATGTCATAAAATTTATATTATACTATAAGCAATATATTGCAATAATAGAGATTTGAACAATACACCTACAAAAGTATTATAAAAAAAAACAAATCAGAGAAAAAATATTAGAGAAAAATTAAAGATAAAATAATAAGATATCAGATACTAGCTTTAAAAAATACGATAAAATATTGTTAAAAATATAAATTGGATATATAAGCAATTTATTTTTGAATGACCAATTACAGTATAAATATTTTTCTAATGAATTTAGTAAGAATATTATCTTTCATTTCATCTTACCTTTAAAATATGATATAATATTTTAGCAGTGGATCTACGTTTCACAAAAACAATGCAACAAAATTTCTGATTGTCTAACCTATTATCATTAAAATTTTTCAATAATTTAAAAAGTTGGAGGACCTGATCTGATGAAAACCTGTAATTTAAAATCATATATTTAAACACACGCGCACGTGCACACACACACACATTTCAAGAAATATATAGAAAAAATAAAACATATTTTAGGAGATACATATAATGAAAATTTTAATATATACTAACTCAAATATTTTTTGTAGATCCGTATAATTCTTCATTTCATCTTCCAAGAGTTTTCTCAATTTAAATAATTCTGTTATCATATATTCAAAGATATATATTCCATTCTATAAATAGGATAAATAAATGGTACAGTAATTTATTTCATATTTACAAAACTGATATTACATAATTTTCTAATATACATACTTGATCATCAATAGATCTCTTTTTGTATTCTAATTGGATTAAGTGTAGTAGAATACATTTATTAACACCATATAAACCTGGAAAAAATATATATTAGGTTGTTTTAAAAGTTTCTTTCATTTTTAAACATTTTAAACGATTTTAAACCAGATAAAACGGCTGCATGCAGATAATTAAAGAAACTTTTGGACAATTTACATATATTTAAATAATACATAAATAACTTTAATTATACATCATTTATCTCCACTATCAGTTATAATTACCTGTTGTATCTATTTGTTTTTTTATATCTTCTATAAGATTCATAAGTTCTTCATTTATAGTTTTTGTTTTAAACTCTTTACTGGATTCGTTATAATCTCGATTACTTGGAATAGATGTAACATTTAAAAATTCTATTAAATTTTGTAAATAGGTTACTACACTATGCCAACTTTCTGGGTATGTATATGTTTCATAATGAATTACAATTTCTTCTGGATTTGTACAATATCCCTTTATATTATCTACTGTCGCTATTTTTGAATGAAATGTTATTTCTAAATTCTGTAATATAAGAGAATTATATCATGCACTCGTTAATTTTTATATTTATATATACTCTCATATATATTTTATATAATTCATAAATCATTAAATTCTGCCATAACGTACAATAATATTCATGTTCTTATAATTAAAGAAATATAAATCTAGAAATTATTGAATTTTACCTTAATTGATTCTATAATATTAGACAATTTTACATTAGAATTAAGTAAAGTTGCAGATAATGCTAATATTTTAGGTTGTTCTGTAACTTTACATTGTTCAAATCTCTGCATAATTTGACGCATAGGATGATCATTTACAGCTCTGTGACATTCGTCAAAAATTATCAAATTTATTTTATTTAAATGTAAATATCCATGATTTATAATATCTAGAAATACCTGACTTGTCATCACTAAAACCTGATAAATATTTTCGTATTATATTGAAATAATTCATTATATAATAAAAATATATGAATATTCATTATATATACTTGTTGGTCATCTAACTCTTTTAACCATATTTCTTTTGTCCAAAAATCAACTTTCATATCACCACAATATCCTTTACATGATAATCCTGTATGTCTTGCAATATATTCAGCTTGTTGAGTTACTAAAGGTACTGTATTGACTACAAATATTGTTCTCTTACCACCCTGAGTGTAAAGCCTAAGAATAAAATACGAGATGAATTATTTTGTATACATTATTAACATAAATAAATATATGTGCACAGATAGAAAAACATAATTATAACATACTTTTGTATATCAACACTCAATTTTTTAAGAACCATCATTGCTATAAATGTTTTTCCTGTACCGGTAGGTAAGTAAATAATTGTATTTGATTCCATTGCTTTCTCGTAAAGGTCAATTTGATATGGCCTTGCAATAAATTCTGCTGATTTATTCTCCATTTTTTTATCGTTATATGACTCCTATAGGAAACAAAATGGAACTCCCCATTTTCAACATCAATAACAATAAATAAAATACAATAGTAACTAACCTGATAATGTGTTATTGTAGTTTACTATAGAGGAAATATAACACAACAAAATTGAAATAATAATAAATTACATCTTCTATCTAAGTTTTGTTTTATCAGATGTTGTCGCTTTAGAACGAATCATAAAAAACTTTTCAATAATCGGAATTACTAAATATTATCGATTATCGTATTTATATGAAATACGATCGATCGATATTGTATTTATATGGAAAATTAAATCAAAGAGACTCGTAAAACAACCACGCAAATATAAAAGTTCCTGTTTTTCATATGGTTACTAAACTTAAATTTGATTTTTTTTTCATTTCGTTATTTGAGCATTCTCACTATTTAAATCGTACGCACATATAATTTGTATAAAATAGAACAAGTTATAAAATAGAGCCTTTGGTTACGCACATCACTCACATTATGTCCTATAACTGAATAGGTAGACACAGGATGCTTCTAATTAAGAAAGATTTTTATATTCACAATTCTGTAATATTCTTAGAGAATATTATATTATATTATTCTTCTGTTATTTTTTATTCAACATTAAACTTTACTAAAGCCGAACTGACTTTAATTTTTGTATAAATATAGTTTTTCTTTTGGTGTCCTAGCTACAGCGCCATAGACTGACATGATAGAATAAAAACACAAGATATGCAACCAAAAATATCTACAAAATTTTATTTCTAGAATATTTTCAATTTATTAAATTGGCAACCTTTTATGAATATCATTTAATATATTAAAAAATTTTTTAAGTTAGTAGCACTGATTGCTAACATCTTGAAATTATAAGGAGTATAAATAAAAATAGTGAATTTAAGTAATCTGAGGTTCATAAATGTAATTATTGTACACTGTTTCGTTATAAAAATTTAATGATCCTTCGAAAAGATGTATTAATCATATTTTATTGGTAAGTGTTTTAAACTTATTTATTTTGTGATATTGCTGTAATAATATGGGAATATGAGTATTTGTTCTTGCAGTTTACAGTTAAATTTTTCTTCATCTTACATTATAAATATTTTAAAAAGAAACAGATATTATTTGCAACAACAATCACAGGCATAATCGGCAAAAATTTGATAATAATTGATATACAAGAACTTTGGTTAACTACATAAATGGTGACACTTTGGACAATTTGTAAAAGTTTAAATTATATAAATGCCAATAATATGAATGCATGTATCGTGAGATGGAATTCAATAATAATAACAATCCATTAAGATGTATTGCAAGCTTAAAAGGGCAATGCAAAGAAAATAAAAATATGTTTTGAATCACAATAACAATTTTATAGCAAAATCGTTATAAATGTATGAAGGTTACATGCAGAATGACATCAGCAGTTTATCTTGGTAGCGGTGGTATTCTCCACCGTGCATTGATATTTATGTTAAAATTAGGATGGAAATCAAGATTTCGTCTACCTGTATTAATTGTTGTAGCTTTTGTTGCCTTGGATATTAGCATGCAACTGGAAATTGCATTAGAGCATGAAAATGGTACAGAACATCATGCCCATTTGTGATTCAGATTAATCTTCTTCATTTAAATTAATTGGATATTAAAGAATGATATGTCTCTTATATGTTTCGTATGATTATTATTTAGTTTATTATATTTTGTAATAATACTATGTATTTTATATTGTTGAAAATACAAAGATATTTAAATTATAAATTAATTATATATTCAAAATAAAAAGGCATTCCAGTCTTAATTAACTAGATATATGACATTTCAAAATTCTATTCTAACAATTACTCTGTTTCCTCTATGACAAGTATGATTTTAAATGATTCAATTTATTTTTTATGATGAATAAAGAGAGAATAAATAATTATCAATTAATTAACTATTATATCATACAAATATATAATATAATTATTGATAATTTTTATTATCTGTATACTTAAGAAATATATACATATATATATATATATATATATATATATATATATATATATATATATATATATCAATGTCCAATGAAATTACTAGAAAGTTTATATTGAATACATACTGATTATGTATTATGTACACCAAATTTGTAAATTTTAATTATCCATTATATCTATGCCAGATGTGCTATTTCTATTTACATGCTTGTAGGTAATTTATGTATGATACAGATAAAATTGACAAAGGAAGCTTTATAAAATATATCACATATAATAAGAATCAATTGATGTAGTCTACATTCAATTTTATATATATAATGTATTCAATTGTTTATTATCAATTTTTAAGAAATAATACGCCGAATTAATTAATATTAAATAAGTTATAAATATAAGTATAATTGATACAAAGTTTAGTTTTATCAATATGTTAATATTATAAATATCATTACATCAATTTAATATTATTTATTTTTTGTTATATAATATAATTACAAACACAATGCAATATTATCTGTTTTTTTTCTTGTTCAAATAATAATCATATATGCTATATTATCATATATACTATATATGAACCATATAAGAAGTAGCTTATACTCCTTGTGCTCAAGAAATTTGTTATCCATAGGTTGGCAATATTGGTTAAATGTATATACAATTTGTAATATATTTAACCAATATTCCAACAAATATATTCATCGAAATTTAGATTTTTTTTAGAGGTTATTTAACAATAAAGTTGATATATTTAATGTATTGTTATTGTATCGTAAATCAAATTTGACGGCATAATTAAAAATTTGTTTTTTTTTATAAGTTTAAATTATCTCACAGATGTTTTAATACGATCTCTAGATCTTACAAGATTTTTTTTCTATTATTGCTTTTATATGCGAAAAATGTATATTAATATATTTTGAGATGTATACAATGTATGTGTTAATAGGTTAGAATTGTGTATATCGTGCAATATGATAGCGTGTAAGTACTATCGTCAGGGCAATTGTCGTTATGGACAATATTGTCAATTTGAACATTTTAACGCTTTTGGTGAGTAAAAAATTGCAATTTCTTTTTCAACTCATTTTCGATTATAAAGTTAATTTTTTTTTCTTTTTCTTTTTTTCATAGGAAATACCAACAATAAAAATAATATTACAGCGTAAGTGGTAGAAAAAAAAAACATTTTAATCTTGTACTGTGTGTATATCTTTTAATGAAAATTAATGTAATATTAGGGTTGTTGTTGCAAGTGAAGTACTTATTGCAGAGAGGGGTAATCAATGGTTATTATCATGTTTTGCCCCTTTCAAAGAGCGACCTCATATACCTGGCATGGAGGATGTGTCACCTGAAGAAGTTAGATGGGAAATGTATCAAGCACAAAAAAATGGTGTTGTTGAACAAGCAGTAAGTTTTAAATAAAATTAATTTACTGATTTATTACAAATCTGGTATTGTAATATATAATGTCATTTCATTTTCATTTGAAGAAACTTCGTTATCAACAATTATGTGAAGATATGAAAGCAAAACGTGATGCTTTAAAAAATCCTACGCAAGAAACTGTAGATATGTTAGTAAGTAATGTTATTAATTATTTTATTTATAATTATATTAAAGAGTTCATGAAGATTATGGATGTTTATAAAACTATATATTCTTATAAAAGATATAAGCTCATATATTTTTTTTGATTGGGCAGATAATATTTATATAAACATTCATAGTCTAATCATACATTATAAACATTTATTAATTAAAAATATTTTTTCTTTTCTTTTTCTAAGAAAAAAATTTTAGGTGATGGTCATAATACTGAGACAACAAATAATACATCTAAATTTTCTTTTGCAACTTCACAAACCTTAATCTTAAATCTTCCAAATAGTACTACAACTACTAATGTGTTTGGTACTAAATCATTTCAACCAAGTCAAAATAACACATTTGGTAACAGTTTTGGTACTTCAAATAATCCATCTCCATTTGTAAGAACAAATAACTCAACATCATTATTTGGTGCTAGCTCAACTTTTGGCAACAATGCATTGACATTTCCTAATGTAACTAATTCAAATTCAGTATTTGGTAAAACTGGAAATACTTCTGTATTTGGCACTGGACAAAATAATCAAGCATTTGGTACAGTTCCGCTACAGAATAATTCTATTTTTGGTGGTGCAGCATCACAAACAGTATTTGGTCAACCTAGCAATTTTGGTACTACCACTCAAACAACTAATGTTTTTGCCAGACCAAGTATATCACAGACAACAACATCGGTATTCGATAGTGGAGCAGTACCTTCTAATTCTTTATTTTATACGCCTCAATCAAATACATCCTTGTTTGGTGAAAATAAACCATCTACTACTGGTCCATTTGGGGAATCTTCCGCTATACAAACATCAAATTCTATTTTTGGATCAACTACATCGTCAGGAAATTTGTCTACTAATTCAACAAGTATTTTTGGACAGCCAAAAACTACTACAGCATTTGGAAGTCCACTAGTATTTGGAGCAAATGGATCATTTCAAAATAATTCTACTCCATCAATTTTTGGAGGTCAAACATTTAACAAAGATGCACAAGTGCCTAGTGACAACATTTTTGGTAGATTTATTACATCATCGAATTTTGGTACTGCAAGTCAAGGAACTAATGTTTTTACAAAAACTACGAGTAATATAGGCCTCTTTGGAGTCCCTCAAAACGCTCAACCTATTATTCCAGCAACAAATGCAACTTCATTTGTCTCAGCAGCAACTACAACTAGTATTCCTTTTGGTACAGTAAACTCACAAATTGATCCTAAGAATACATATGCCATTGCAAGACCATCATTTGGTATAACAAATACAAGTAGTCCATTAAGTAACACAGTTACTTCACCTACCATACAGTTTGGAGCAACAACAGGAACAAGCTTTAATGGTACCACAAACATATCGTCTCCTTTTACTATACCTTCATTTGGAGGTTTTACTTCTTCCTTTATGCAAACAAACACAACAGTTACAACTACTACAACAAATCCATTTATCTCACAACAAACTAATTCATCTTTCAATGGTGCAATTCAAAATCCAAATGGCACAGTAAATGAATCGCTTGTTACAAATCAACCTAATGAGAAATCGCTGTTTACATTTGCACAAAAAAATACTGCCATTGATGATACTATTTACTCTGAAGAAGTACATTTAACTGATGATGAAAAGGCTATGTATTTGGCAGACCAATTTGTAATAGGTAAAATACCACTAAAACCACCATGTGAAAGTATGAGGTAGTTGTAACTGTACATTTATAAATATATAAAGATGTGTATTATAAATATTTCTATAAAAAATAGTATCAATTTGTCATTACATTTTTATAAAATAACATAATTGTGCTAGTTCTTATAGATATTAATTATAATTTACTTTGACTAGAATAAAAATAAACAATTAAATAAATACAACTAATTATTGTGTATTATGTAATATTATGTAATATGTATAAAAATCATTTTATAAGATTTGTAATGTAATTTGCTTTAATAGTATCTTAAATAATAAATTTTATATATTGATATTTTTGGAATGGAAATAATTGTAATGATAAATAAATAACATTGAATAAATTGAAAATTTATATTTGTTATATAAAATAATCTTTATATATATATAAAGCTATATATTATATATATATATAG